ATATCAGTAGCCTGGTTTACTGTGAGAAGTGTTCTCTATATCATATGTTCAGAAAGGTTAGTACAATTCTCATGTTTCCATGCATACATCTATAAAAGAAACCAACTAATTTTAAAAGAAGAAGAAATCTAATGTTAAGACTTGATTCTGGGGTCTAGTGGATTTCAAAATTGGAATTTTGACATACATATTACTAGAAAATTCTGAACTCATGGTAGTATATTATTAAAAAGTGTGATATGTTGAGTGACCAGGAACTTGTGGCCCATGTGTGGAAACCCATTTTAGTAATTGAGAATGAACTTCTCCAAAAAGTGCTACTGTAGGTCAGCTGTAATCCAGCCATATATTTGAGTACAGTCAGCACTACAATCCAAAAGCATTAATCCTTGCTGTGATTCTTTCAGCTATATTTTGTTATTTAAATTACTTTTGTGGTATGGTTTGTTAGACCGGTATTTCACTTTCAGAAAGTATAACTGTGCATTATTCCACAGGATCTTCTGTAATGATATTTTCAGAATGAGGGTAAAAGAATAGGCAAATGCATTACTGTTCTACCACGTAAGCATAGGGACAGTTCAATTCCCTTATATTTTCCTTCCTCCCTCTCACAGGCAAACCCTCATATAGACATTTGGCACCAGTTCGTGGTCACACTGTACCAGCGGAGTTTTTCATATAAAGCGCAGTATCTCTGTTAACGTAATTCCATGGTCAATATAATGATATAAAACTTATTTTTCAAAGTGGCATATGAGGACAAATACAGTGCTCTGAAAGTTACTTTTTAAAAGTAAATGAATTTGTTTCTGAATTGACTTCCACACGTGATAATTCATTACTCTATCCAGTCATACTTAAGTCACTTTTGAGAAGTTTGGCATTAGGATGTGTGAAGCTGTGAGGGCTGACTGTGTGTATATGGAGATGGTTCAGGAAGTACTTGCAGGAGGTGTATACTGTAACTGAAATAATAAATTATTTCTTATGATGATAGACATGGTTACCTTTGTATCTCTTAAACTGCATTTCGGCATAGAAGACTACTGTATTCTGGGATGTGACACCATATCATCTGGTAGAAGTTTCCCAATGTTCTGGAGGCTTTGCTTTGGCTTAACTTCAAGCCTCAAGGTACAGGCAGTAGGTTCCTCTGAAATGTCAGTAAACAAATGCCAAACTATACGGCGTCACATCCAAAAAAAAAAAAAGCACTATTCATTATCACTGCTGTGAGTCCCTGAAATGAAATATATTTTGTCATTGTTTGAAATAATTCATCTTCATAAATACTTATTGACAGTTTTAAGGTTATCACAGCAGTGATCATTAAGAATGTGGTGTTCTCATTAGCTTAGATCAGTTTCCTTTCTTAACTCCCCTATTTGGGTCTCATGACCACCTTCCTTGTAACTTGCTTATGTAACCAAGCCTCTTCCTGAATCTCACATTTAAACCTGAAGATGGAAGCAGGACGTTCCTCCGAAACGTGGGTATCCACTCACAAAACTACACGGTTTCACAACCCAGAAGACTGTAGTCTTAATTTTAAAAGTTCTGTTCTGCATGTGAGGAGTTGGTTTGACATACTGTTAAAAAGCCTAACACAACAATTAAAAAATGTTTATCTTTTTTAATTAGACCATAAATCAGAGAAATGAGCACATGATTTTTTTTTATTGCTGAACTGAATGTTTGAAATTCAATGCAGGTATCCCCCTAACTTAGGCAATAGTGGTCACATCATTAAAGATTTTTGTTTTCCTTTGGTTTCACTGCCTATAACTTTCATTGAACAATACAAATTCAATTAATATTAATATCATACATTTTAGATGTGTACAATTCCTGATTTTCATAGGAAAATAATTTCTTTGTTTTCATCACTAAAAATAATATGAAATAACAGTAACCTGAAGTTTAAGTCAGGGATACCTGTATCTTATTATGTTTTTGCTAATAGCATTTATTACATAAAGGAAATGGAAACTAATTTTATGGACAGTATTATGAAAATTACAAGGTTTACCATTTTATTGTTTCAAGACATTCACTGACTTGAGAAGTGATGCAGTAGTCCACTAGAGTCTTCTCAGACAATAAGTCATTTTACCATGATGATGGGGATAGCAGGGAACGAAAACATTGGTTTATAGGTCAGCCCAAGAAGATTTGGTGCATTTATCCAATATGAAAACTTCAGATCTTACAGAATGCTGTAGTAGGCTTTAATACATTGATATTAATGGTTATATGGTCAAGGTTTTTGGGGGAGGCATTTCTTTATCTTCATGTAGGACTCCCAGACATGAGAAGTGTTTACCATGGTGGACAAATAGAAAGTAAGGAAGAAATTCCTGGTATTACAAAACATTTCATCCACTTCAGAAGGTCCAGGAAATTAAGTGTCTGAATGAGCATATGATATGCTACTTAAGTCCACTAACAAAATGTCCAGTAAAAAGGTCCAAAACTAAATATGGGTTGGACATTTATAAGTTGTATATTAAGTACTGAATTAAATTCATTCATTCATTCATTCATGTTTATTCATCCTGTAGATCAGATTACATTGATATAGGACATGTCACATAATATAAATTATAAAATTAACAAAATACAATAGATTCTAAACCAGTAAACACACAAGATATGTAATGATTACTGTGCTTTGTATGGGAATGCAACTTCTTGTCAATAAAAGTAAGAGGATATGTGAAGGAAGAAATATTTTGGAGAATTTTTATCATCAGACTGAATATCTTCTTTAGCAGCAGTCAGATTTGTTCTCAGCCTAAAAGCAATGTGTAGTACATGAGGTGATTTTGTCCTTTATATCACAAAAGAAAAAACATCAGCTATTCTGTTAGATCTGCATAGATGTTTCCTTTTTTACAGCAATGCAAGCAGTGGAACGTATCTCATAACAATGTGCTTTATGCAATCTTAAAGGAATTGCTTTTGTGAAAATTCGAATATGACATTACTAAAATATATGGAGTTCGCATGCAAAAATCTCAAATTTTTGGTTATTTAAAAAAATGAACATTCAGTTTTCATTGTCCATACCCAAATCATGCATCAGAAACCTTTTACTGCTTTTCATTAACTTTGCTGACAAGCGGCGGTCGCTCATTTGTTCGGTATAGTTCGCTTGCAGACTAAAACCACGGAGTTTGATAGGTTTTGGGAATATTAATGTTTGCTGTAGTAGTATTGAGTGGCAGTTCACAATATACAGAATGTCCCAGGATGAAAGTATTGGTCATTCTAAGCAAAAATGTGTATATGTGCATGTGTTATATTCCAAACGGTTTCTGAGTTAGAGATATTTCACTGTACAGTTCCAAAATTGTTGACAAGGAAGAGATATTACATAATGTTTCTAATACAGGTATTTCTTAGTCAACTGGCAAAGTTGGTATAGTTTACCCCCTGTACAGGATTTGTGGAGTTATTTAATAACAATAAACAATACCTAATGTAATCCATTTTTGTAAATTCCACCATTAACATGAATGTACTTTGCAACTTGTGCTAGGATGTGGTGTGTTGCTCATCTGTATGGTGTACAGTGAAATAGCCCTATCTTGGAAACCGTTTGAATTAGAACTTGTACCTATACACTTATTTGCTTAGAATGACCAATACTATGACCTCACAGAATACTGAACTTTCCTCCTGGGACACTCTGTATATTGTACTCTTTTAGTGGGTTAGAACATAAGTGGAGTGTGACATGAGGACTGGCTAAATATGCCGTTTTTCATCAGACTGAAAATACCTCCTCTGAAGACCCATGAATTACAGATAATCTTTGTCATCATCACTTTCTTATGACAGTTTTTACAAAGCCTCCATTGATATGATGTGAAAAAAACATTGGAAAGAGACAGGTTAGAAGTTTGAACACCAGAGAATCTGAAATGATAACATTTATATGATCAGCTTTCTCTGTTTTTTAACATGGCTTAAATACTTCAATGTTTACACTACTTCGCCTTTTGGCTATATCTTGTTCTGTGTGCCTAGTATCTTTCCCAGGACCATATACCTTTGCTGTACAACCAGAGTTACCTATTTTTTGCCTGGGATGTGTGGTTACTTTCCCTGTCAATGTCACAATATATAGTTGCTGAAACTTCAAAGATTGAATAATATTCAGATTAAGAAATTTAAATTAGCGTCCATTGTTTATCTTCCATCAAAATTGCAACACTTTTACATTCTACACTTCAGCTGTAACATCTGTAACATAAAAACACCCGAAGATGGCCGTTTGAGGCTGAAACATATAGTGTTGAAGTGTAGAATGTAAAAGTGTTGCAATTTTGACAGAAGATAAACAATGGACACTAATTTGAACAATTGCAATGGGACGCTGAAATACAGAATAAGAAATTAAAGTTTACTTATATAGCAAAAAAAAACAGGAATGAGATTTCGAATTGCATCAACAAACTCTGACATTATGCTTGCAGATTGATTCAACAGGTGTGGCTTCCGTACATGCTGGCAAGAATTCAGAGTAATATTTTTAGGTGTTCTCTGTTAGATCAGTGGCAGGATACAGGTCTTTACAGTTTTATGTACAGTATATTAAACAAGAAAAGTAATCAGCTTTAATGTTAGTAGTGCCTGTTCTAAGCCAACAGAAGAAACAAAGTATAATTCCAAGTAACCTTTCAGTTGCTTTCTGTCTTGTTCTCTAAATCACTTGATATGTCGTAAGACATTTTTGGTAACAAGCTTTTCAGTTGCTACATTGTTACATCATCATCCTCTTTAGGTAATTCATTCTGAAAGCATGTGTGGCTTCGCATTTTGTTCCACTGAGTCCCCTTGTATACATGATGATGAGAAAGCAAAGGTGTACTGGCTACATTGCTTTTCTTGAAATCATTCTGGAAACTGGCCATGTAACTTCAAGGATTTTGTTGTGCAACTTCATAAGATGTAAGACATGCCCTCCAGTACAGGGGCAGGTTTTTTTTTTTTATTACCTTTCTTTCAGTATTTAAAGTTAATGGTAGTCGTAAGAGATATCAGTTTTATAATGACACTATAAGAGGTAGTTAAATTAGGAGTAAAAATAATAAATACGTTCTTTAACATTTCTACATATTGGATGACAACGTGTATATTGTACTTCCTGAATCATCACAGCAAAAAAACTTAATTTACAAATTGTAAGTATATTGTGTCCAGTTACCAGACAGTCATAACTATTTTTCACACTTGGATGTTTGTATTTGGAGTCTAAAGAAACTAAGTTGAACCTTGGCAGGTAATTGGTGAATATTATACAGCATGTTGGCTCATACGGGCTTGAACACCTGATCCTAAGGATTGAAGAATGAACATAAAACTGAAAATATACCTAAAGAAGAAATAAGATTTTATGTGAGCTGTGAGTTCTCATAGACATGACTATGAAGGCGACTTGTCTTCTGGATATGTTACCATGCAGTCTGACAGATTGTTACTAATGCCTCCTGCAAGCCAGAAGAGTAAGCTGAATGCGGAAGCATGGTGTGGATATATGGTCCAGTACTCTTTACACTGTTCTCCTTACCCCCACTGATTCACTCAGGACTCCAGTCGTGCATTCCCTCACTGTGTAACCATGATATTTTCTACTTTTTTCTGCACTCAGCATACTCATTTTCCACGAAGATTGAGGCAGCGTATTCCTCTGAAATGCTGGTAATTATTAACTAGACTACACTGTATCACATCCCAGAAGACAGTAGTTTTCAATATTGTTTATGATTTTTGCAAAATTTGCTGCTTTCTTTAGTTCTTATAATCTATAAACTATTGGTGTTGAGAAATATATATACGCAACTAATGGGACATTGTAGTGGGTCCTTTTGCTGAAACTAAGATGTGTAAGATTTTTTTTGCTTAGTACCAAAGGTACTTTAACAACAGCAGTATTTAAGATAGGTTTACAGCAACAACAATTATTACACTAGATATCTGCGTTTATAGAACATTTTCAAAATTTGGACGTATAAATTTATGATTGTTTCTTTAGGATACTATCAGGACAGTAGCAAGAAAGTTAATGTTTTGCAGATTCAAATGAAAAGTAGTATCACTTAATTTATCAGTTATATCTTTGTTGAGAAGTAAATGATGATTAATGTTGATTAATATTGCTGAGGTTGAGAAGCAGAGTGAATGTGGTGTCTGTAAGAAAAGCAAATTAGATCCCACCAACTCCTCATGAAGGTGCATGAAGGATGGAAGTTTGATTGCTATGTGTTCACTGGATTTTGAAGATAAACTGGGCTGCACTATTTTGAGATAATAAATTATTTGTTAGTTGAGATAGGTGGGCCATTGCCACCGTGTTCAACGTTGTGTATTTCACTACTGGTCAACTTGCAAACTGGGTTTGAAATGTTTATTTTAATTATGTAATAGTGTTAGCTATAGCCTTGGAACTGAGATGTCTTAATCACTTTTGAAAGTGATATTCCATACTGTTTCTGTCATGCAGCCTCAGTATTGTGATCAGTGGTATAGAAGGCTTATTGCATTGTAATTCACTTTTCATTAAGTAAATAATATAATTAATAAGAGCATCTTAAAATTACTGAATGGATTTTATGAGGGAATAATAAAAAGCAGATGAAGATAAATTGATAATGAGTGTTAAATGAAGGCATGACACATTTTGTTTGAGAATATAGAAAGTGCCGGTTATCGGGTATCAAAACATCCAAAATTCTCATGCAACCGGCAAGATTTTAAGAAGAAAATAGTTTATTTGAAGTTACTTCAAAAACCGAAGTTACAATGTGAATGTGTCTACCTGCCACACCATATTTCTTCCAACCGCCACTATAGCGCTGTCCGTCCTCTTCCTTGCAACTGCCATTACAGTTGCAGTGATCTGTGAATACAGTAGAAACAGGCTGAATATGTGATTGCGTTATAGTATGTTCAGAGTATTTGCTCCATCAGTCCACTCTGGCACCTAAGAAGACCCCCAAGCAAAAGCGTAAGTGCTTTGTTTTAACTCTGAAAAAGAAAGTTGAAGTACGTAAAAGGCCGGAACAGGGCTAATATCATGACAAAATTGGGTTCCTATAAGTTACTGTACTGTAATCTCAGAGCCCATAGCGACCGGATAACAGGGAGTTAGCTGTATATGGTTTTGCACACATTTGAATATGTCCCAACTCAGGCAACCCACTGTGTAACATATCCAGGGCAGTATAGTATCCTGGACATTTCCAACAGTGAAGAAGGAAGGAGTATGTAAGATTTGAGGCTTTCACGGTGGTGACTATGAAGAAAGCAGTCTTCTGGGATTTAACACCACATATACACGGTGCCAAATCCCAGAAGACTGCTTTCTTCAGGAAGGAGTGTAATTATAGGATTTTATAGGAGTGCGTCCTGACTGTACTTATCATTCAGCGTTTGAAATTAACTGTCACACAAATTTGTATACAAACTTCTTGCTTTTTAATCTCCTTTCCTTATTTAAAAAATGTAGGTGGGTTTATGAGATCGCCTTGTTCTCTCTCTGTATGTGTACCCCTCTAGCAAGCATTGAATGTAAGGACCGATAGCTATCTATGAAACTTGGTATGTATATCATGCTACCTGAGGCCATTTCATTGGCATACTTAACAAATCCCTTCTTCAGTAATACCAAATGCTACAGCATCTTAAATTATTGAGATGATGATAATATTCTCAGAAGATACAACTATTCATAGCTACTACTGTGAGAACCTCAAATTCTGCTTATTTATCCCCGTGTTCTTCAGTTTCTCATTTCATCCTCCTAATTAATATTAGTTGCAGATCACAGTGGCTGTGCAGTGTAAGGCATAAACTGTCTTCAGTTGCTTGAACGATGGAATTGTTGGTTCGAATCCAACTCAAGGCATGGAGGTCTGTGTGTAGGTAGTGGCATTGTGACTGGCAGATCCCTCATCCAGGGTGTCCTTCTGACTCTGTATGGGACTAAAAACTAGAAAAGCTGCCAATGTTCAAAAAGAGGACTGCAGAAGCATAGACAGATGATCAGTTGTAGTTCCTCTTACTTTTGTTAGCCATCCTTCTTCCTCCTCCACTTCTTCATTTCTTCCCCTTGAACTTTAAGCCTTACACATCAGTCATATTTAAGGAGACCTGTTAAAAGCCTAAATGCCAAATTGGGTGAGAATTTGATCTACTTAAAAACAGATCAATATTATGAAAACTTTGCCACAATAACTAGTAACACAAAATGTTAATACAAAATCTAGAGGTTCTCAGTGGTGGCTATGAAGACTTACATCTTCTGGGGTACGGAAGATAGAATTCTTCAGTTTCATTTACTTTGTTGTGTATATATACATGACCAATCCATATTCATCATATGAAGAGAAAGTCCGCAGATATTAAAAAGAAGAGGTCTGTAAAATATGGTGCCTCAGGCAATTGCTTCGTTCTTCTGTGCTGTCTTGCCACCCTAGTTCTTAGAGCCACTGATTCCCACTGTTCTTTTCCATTCCTTCATTCAATATCTCTGTTTCATTTATATCTAATTTCTTAGTTTCTGTAGTATTTTTCTTGTTTTGTTTATGTGTCTTTTCCTCTGTTGCAACTTTTCTTCACCCCATGATTCCTAATTGTCTTCTCCTAGTATATGAGTATGCCCCCACAAAAGGTCTGTTAAGTGCCACTGGTTTCTAAAGTTTTGCTCACACCTCTGGTTCCGAGTTCTCTTCGTTCTCTTCTTTATAGCCATAAATTTCCCCCGTGTAACTTACTCCTCTACCTGGAAAATTGAAATGGTGGTTACAGATTACTAAATTACATGGTGTTCCCATCACAATAGCTAATTTTAATAGGCACCACCGTGAGAATCACATTAAGGATATCCTGAGGAGTTAAATGTGGAACCTCGACGACTCAACCACGTCGGCCTACAAGGACTTTTACAGGGATAGTTTTACCTTTTTACCGGGGTGCTTTTCCCCCGAGATAAAGTGGCCGGGAATTCAAGCTGAACCCTCACCTCCAACTAGTGCCGAGATCAAGAATACGTGGGTATACATGGCCCTTCACCTATTGTCTTGGCGTTGAGAAAATTTTACGTTTACGTTAGTGATCCGTGATTCACGTAGTACTGGTCGTACTGGTCACGGTTTGAATACCCTAAGTTAGGTATCTCCACGGATCGTACTGGTATTCCGTGGATGTGCAAGTGCACGAAGGTGATGAGTGAGAGGTTTGAATGGGATGGCTTTTTCTGTATCAAACCAAAGATATGGTTAACGTCCAATTGTGAAACTTTTACCAATTATTCGTAATACAAAATACAGAAGCCCTGCATTATGAATGCCTATATATGTTATAAATGGAGGGTTCTGTGGCCAGTGTCTTGTCTCGTGAAGGGGTGCCGTATGCCCTGTCATCAGAAGAAGACGTTGAATGATTTACTGCGCTCATCCATCAAGTTCCTAAATTGTACAAGTGCAGTCCATACGTACGTTACAAATGTGAGCCGAATGTGTGTCATCAGGCACCGGCTTGGTTTTTCAAAACTGCCTGTGAGCACATCTGCCCTTGAAGTAAATACAAACGTAGCAAAAGATGTGATTTTGTACCGGTATGATAATCCTAAGTTCTTTCGCATTGTGAACATCTTCGCATTGTGCCAGTTTGGTTTTTGGACTTACCTTTCTCATTTTGCCTTTACTTCGATGAGGGATGCACCTGTACCGAAAGATAGAGACGATCTACCCTGGTGGAGAAAGATTAATCTTGGAGAAAATAAATACAGAAATGGTTTGACAGTTTTGAGTTTTCTTATAGGTAAGCATTACTAGAGTATTGAGCTTGGTTCAGCATAAGGCTATCATAATTCGGTTACAGATACAATATAGGATATATTTTCACGTGAAAATTTAACCGTATAGTTGCATGATCTTGATTAAGAGACAGGAATTAAAAATTAAAATTTTACAGGCATGACAATCAAGAATATTTATGATAATTGTTAACACATTTTCCATTTGTTAACTGTTTTTTGTGTAATGACTAGATTTCTGTTGTCCTTGCACGCAAAATAACACTACCTTTTGTAGAAAGTCACAAAAGTCTTGTCTTTCTTCACTTGTGACTCACATAGATGAACAACAGGCTTATTAAGAATGGGAGGACAACTTAGACAACGACGACTACGTTGAAGTGCCTGCACAAGAATTAACAGCTGAACAACTATAAAAAACTATTAGAATGGTTGAAATATTGTCAGAGCATATTATGGAAGTTGATCCCAATATTGAATGTAGCCTTACAATTCGCTGAACGATAAACAATGCAATTTGTTGCTACAAAGAAATGTATGAAGAGAAAAGGCCAAAGAAGAAAAACGTGCAGATATCAATATTGCAATTTTTAGGGAATAAAAATGAATTGCGAAAAACTTGATTTTTTTAAAGTTATTTCTAATAAAGACATTTGAATTTATTAATCACATTTTATTTATTGAAAAATGGATTTTTTTTTGGAACCAATTATAATTTTTTCTATGTATTTAGTTCCTCAATTAGTCCAGTTTCAAACAGTCTGGGACATTGGCGGAACCGATTACTCGGACTATGCGAGGTATTGCTGTAACTAATACCTCCATGGATGAGAGTCCTACTTGAAACCTAATACTTGCTCAGCTAGTCAAGAAATTCGCTGTCCTAATCAAGGTGAATTCAGTCAACACCACTGCATCTTATCTGTTTGAGACACATTTTAATATCCTTCCATCTGTTCCTAAGTCTTCCAGTTGGTCATTTTCATTTGGGTTTTCTTAACAAACTCTAAAAACTGAACATCAGGAAAGAATCTAACTTATTTTTTTCCTAAATTTGCAGCAGGGCATTACAGTGGTCATTGTCTAGTCCACTACCAACCACCAGAGATACTTTTCCTTCAGTCACAGACCGAACAGCTATAACTGTTGGACACTTGGTATAAATTTTACTAATAACTTTTATTTTTATGTTACCACCATACACTCTTAGAGTTTTATCCATGTACATTTTATTGTATTATATTACAACAAAGCCACTCATTCTAGATGATCTCATATGCAACAAATGGATGGAACTCTCAAAATAAATAGCTCTCATCTGTAACTTTACTTCCTATAGACCCACTGTACTTTTCCAATCTTATATGAAGCAAATCATGATTTCACCAAATATACATGCAACAATCATCTATCAGCAATGGAAATTTGTTGTCAGCAAACGTTAAGACTGCAGCGTTGCCTGAAGCCCAGGTTGCTCTCTCAGCACTGCCTGCTGGTGAATTTCACAAAACAGTGACTTTTGTGATGCTGAGGACAATCAGGACGTCCCGTGAAGCTTTAGGCTCTTGTGTCTACAGCTTTCAGTGTTTTGTGTAATATAATTTTTATTGTATTTTTCAGGGTATGGTATTCTGACAGCAGCATGGTTATTCACTCTGAAATCCGTTCGATATCTGATACTGCGGAAGGGCGGCGATAAACTGACATTTGTAACTTACACACCATTTGGAAAGAACAGGATGATGACGGTTGATGTAAACAAGGTAAATATGTTTATTCTAAATACAGTATTAGATTATTTAATTAAGCTTCAAATTATGTTCATCCCACTGTGTTCTTCAAGATCACAAATTAATTGCAATAGTGGACTCATGATATTTGAGGTTCTCACAGTGGTGACTAAGATGGAACATCGTGTAATCTGGTAGAAGTTTTCCAATGTTTTGAAGGTATGTACTGCTTCTATGTCCAGGGTCAGAAAGTAAGCAAAGCAGCAAGGAGTCTGCTTCAACCCTGAAGATGGAGGCAATACATTCCTCTGAAGCAGTGTTTCTCAACCTTTGTGAGACAGTGGCCTAGTAAATTCTTATTTTACAAGACCAGGACCCAGTCCCAACAAATTCACTCACAAATACCTTTCCCAGTCTTTTTTTTTTAAAGTGCATACATTGTACTAACATAAGTGTTAATAATTAATTATGGAATAATCGTAAAGAGTATTAGTACACTTATGTATGCGGTGTGGCACATTGACAGATACAAAATTACATTTAAATTAGTTATGAATCACTGAACTAATGAAATGTTGTAGCATATTGTAGTTTTCCTCAGGCAGATGGTGATCTCTAAAACCTACTGTTATTTTTTAAGAACATGGAAAGTAGGCAAATAGCAGCAGCTGCTGTCACCTTACATGAGTGGTAGTATTACCTTGGCTCTAAATCCTGTTCACCTCTTTCAGAAACTGTGGATCTTTAAGTTCCTGCTCAGTATATCAAAGAATTTTCGATGTGCAATATATGCCGTTCTAGTCAATTTGGCCTTCTACTGGATGTGCTTCAGCTGCTTATGTTGTCTGTAGGAACACTGACACATTTGGAAACAAAACTGTTAATCATTAACAATCAAGTTCCTTCCCATTTATAGTAGAAAAAGAAATCACCAACACACAAAACTTCACTTTGTTAAAAATAGCCACGTTCCAGTTAATTAAAATAATTACAATAGTTAAAATTGCCGAGAGTGTCGGTTCACTAAAGGTTTTCCACACACCACGGTAGCTTTCTTATTTAATTCGTCGTTAATTCTGTAAAAATTATGTTTCGTTATTTGAAGTAAGAATTCTTAAAATTCCTAGAATTCTTTCCCGCTTGGCCCAGTCTTTTTTCTTCGGGATGTTGTTGACGTGTGTTGTCTGTCGGTTGTTGATGTTGCTTGTCTGTGTGTTGCGATGCATCGCAATGTTTGTTTTAAACTAATAATTTATTTTATATGTGTACTTCCAGGTTAGCAGCCAAGAGAGTCGACAAAATGCTCGCGTTCAACTGCCCATAAGAGTGAAGAACTTTCGCCTCTTTTTTATGCTGGATATGAAAGGGGAATTCAAAAATCCAAAGCTATTTGACCACACTGCTGGACTCAAGAGGGTGTGGAAAGATTGAGGTGAACTGCACTGCTGTAGTAACTTGGAAAAAAAGAGACATAAGTTGTAATATTGTAATAAAAATAAATATTTTTTCATTTATGAGAATTGTCTGGAATACTCTTTTTTTTTTTTTTT